GGCAGGCAAAGTCAATGGGGGAGTCAGATTCTCTTAACAACTGTGTTATTGACTTAACAATTGAAGTGATTCACTTAACAACTATGGTAAGAAAGGTCATAAAATGGGGCAAAACTCGAGACTTCCGGTGGATCTGCGCGCGCGATGGCGGCTACTTTGTAGCCGTCCTCCTGGGAAAGTGTTAGAACTGCTAACACTAGCTGTTCTGTGGTTCAAAACCTCCTTCCCGGGCAAAGGGAGGGAGGAGAGTATCATCTGAATAGTGGTAGAGCCTCTGATGCACCCCCAAGGTTTTCTTTTGGGGGGTGAAAAGAGTGCTCCCACGGAGTTCAGATTGTCTCCGCTTCCCAGCTGTTTTTGTCTCTAGGGACAAAACAAGCCACTGCAACCACCTCCGCGATTAAAGTGATCTGGTGAGGTTTTTTAAAAGCGGACAGAGCTGAATAGAGGATTTTGTTTTTTCCGATCTTATTTGGATTTTAAATTTAAAGATTTACTTTTATTCCCTCTTTTTGTTTTCTTCTTTTGTTGAAAGGGAAAGTAAAATGGCGATCGGCAGGTTTTTTGGTGTTTTTTTTTTTAAATGATTGGAACGGAATGGAACGGATTTGATTATTTATAATGATTTTTTGATTTTTTGATTTTAGGAGGATTATTTTCCCTTTCTGTTTAACTTTTTTTTATTTTTTGAAGGATTTTTTTTTGTTTTTTGTATTTTTAAAAAATAACGGAATGGATTTTTTCTATTTAATTATTCTTTTTCTCTTTCCTTTTCCTTCTTTTTCTTAACTTTTTTCTTTTTATTATAATGATCTCCTTTTGAAGGAGTTTTTGATTTTTTGGAGTTAATCTCCCTTTTTTTTTGCTTAACTTTTTTTTTCCCTCCTTTTTTGGGTATTTTTTAAGAAGGAGTAAAGATTTTCTAAGATGGCTCCAAAGCGTCCAGTTATTCCCACAGCTCCTAAGGTAGTTTCTTCTTCGGTGATATCATCAGTGCAACAATCTAAATCAATAGTTTCACCCTCTCCTTTGGCACAGTTATTAACGGTAAAGGATTTGCAAGACATAATGGGAAATGCTATATCTCAAATCAGGGGAGAAGTGAAAGAGATCTTAGCGGAAAATAATAGGATTCTGAGGCAAGATATAGTTTTGGCTTTAAAAGGATTTGCCTCTGTTCTTGAAAAGTTGAACTTTCGTGTAGATGAGGTTGCAGACAAAGTGGAGCTGTTGGAGGGAAAACTTGAAGGCATGGAAAAAGAGATGGAAAATTCTCAAGATGAGATTCTTATGCTTCAGTATAGAGAAATGGAATATGCTTTAAGAATTAGAGGCTTGAGAGAGTCTCTGCAAGGAGATCTGAGAGAGATGATTGCAAATGACTTTGCTGTGATTCTGGACAGAGAAAAAGAGGAAATATTTAGTGAAATTGAAAAAAACATTTAGAGTTAACTCTGTGGTGGCAAAGCAAAGAAATCTGCCAAGAGATGTGGTAATTTATTTTGGGAAAAGATCCCTGCGCAATGAAATTATACAAGCTTTTTACAATAAGAGGTTTCAGATTGCTTCACAAGACGTTATAATTTTAAAGGAGATCCCATCTAAAATTTTAAGAAGAAGAAAGGAGTTTGCTTTTTTAGTAGATGAACTTAAAAAGAGGCGAATGTTGTTCAGATGGGATGTCCCGACTGGAATGGTGGTGAGTTATCTGGGGACACGTTATAGACTTAATACTGTTTTCAAAGCAAAAGAGTTTTACACTTCGGTCCTGGGGGTATGTTCATCGCCACTTATTATGTCTAAAGTTTTGGAAGAGAAGAAGGCAGAATTGCAGTCTGAAGAGCCTATATTGATGAAAATTGGGAAATTTCAGACTGAGGGGCCTCAACAAGTTGAGATGAAGGAGCAGAGGATAACTCGTGTAACACATAAACGCAAAGAAAAGGAGCAACAGTCTGCGGGAGAAGCAAGATCTATAAACTTTTTGAAGCAACCTTTAAGGGCAGATTTCCAAGCACTTCTCTCGAGGTTTTTGGATAAGAGAGATCGATAAAGAATGTATAGATTGTTTTCAGGTTATTGATAGATTACAGTTCACTGTGGATGGAATTGGTTATTGGTAAAGAGGAGAGAAGATTATGGAAATCGAATGAAAATTTTAGATAAGAAGTTTAAGTTTAGTAATTTAAGGAGTATTCAAAAGAGTATTTTGTTTTAATAGTATAACTAACATTTATATGTTTATTTTTGTGTTTGATGATAAAGAAAGAGGGATAAATTAGATTTTATATAATATAAGTATGATATTATGGAGATTGAATGAACATTTTAGATAGGTAGTGCATGTTTAGATATCTAAGGAGCATTTAAAGGAATATTTTGTTTTAAATATGTATAAGGGAATTTCAATGTTATAAGTAATGTTTATATGTGTGTTTTTGAGGGTGTTTATAAAGAATGATGGATAAACTTTAAATAATATAAGTATGACATTAGAAAATGTTTAGTTTTTTTTCTGACTAATTTACACTTAAAGCTCATAAAATTTTAAGGGTGGTTTAATTTTCTTATTAAATTTTTTTTTGGGGGGGTTCTTTTTTTTCTTTTTCTTCTTTTAATTTTTTATTATTATTATTATTTTTCTTAGTTTTATATTGGTGTTAGAGTATTTTATAATTTGTTTAATGATTGTAATCATAATTTTTTCTATTTTTTATATATTGGTCTTAAAGTATTTTATAATTTGTTTAATTATTGTAATTAATTGTTTATGGTTTACATGTGTTTAAAAATTTTTCTTTTAAGTTTTAACTAAGCCTGTATTCAGCTCTGGGAAGGTTGGGGGAGGGTTGGGGAGGGTTGGGAGGGTTTGGGGAGGGGAATCTCTTTTTTTGTAAAATTTTAAAAATTTTCAATAAAAAAAAGGGGCAAAACTCACTTAAAAACTTTAATTTAGCAATGGAAATTTTGGGCTCAATTGTGTCATGTATCAAGGACTACCTATATTTATTTATTTTTAAATAATATATTTATTTGCAAAGAAATAAATATTGATAAACCAGAGGAAAGTCATAGAACAAAATACAGTTAAAAAAAATATAAGGAACAACCATATGACACTTGTTATTTGCTAATATCAGAATTATAAGGTATTGGCTTTCTAGCTAAGCTCTTCCTTTCTTCATTCACAAGAGGTGAAACGGAAAAAAGATGTCCATCTCATTGCCCTTCTCAGCAATTTATCTGAATCAGGGTGGGCAACCCGTTCCTTAAACTATCTTAAACCAACATTGGCAATGCTGATTGGGGTTGATAGCAGGCAAAATTCAAAGGTTTTGAAATCTGTGGAACTTGATGCATCAGCTTTTTCTAACAGTTTTAATTATTTACACACTCAATATGTGTGTTTGTATGAATATAAATTGGCCATATGGGTGAGAAAAGGGAGTCTCAACCTTCACACTTTAAATCCCACCAAAGAATCTTGTTCCTGCCAAAGTAAAAACAAAGTTTTCCAATAAGGATATAGCTATATTTAAAGGGATTCCTTTGGCTCCAGTTAGCTCTTTGAAGTAGAGCTAGGCCCAGGAGGTAGGCAACTGTGGCTCTTTTATGACTCGTGGACTTCAACTCCCAGAATTCCTGACCCACCATGGCTCAGCTTGGAAACCTCTCCATTTCCCCTCAGCATGGCTGGCTCAGGAATTCTGGGAGTTGAAGTCCACGAATCATAAAAGAGCCAAGGCTGCCTACCCCTGACTGCTAGGGGAATGTAGGAGACCAGCAATTTCTGAATATGATAAATAAATAAGAAACAGGCTTCCAGGCATGCTACCATATTGTAGTAGGGTATATTTATAGAATCTCAAAAGCTGGTCTGAAACCTTGACACGCCTTCTTAAGGCCAACAAAGTCAAGGCAAGGCTGTTTGGAGTCCTTTTCTCATCCTTTCTCAGGGCTGAGCAACCATTTCATTTCTCCTTTCCCTTCCCTTCTCAACACAGCTAAATTCCCAACAGCTCCTAATACCAAGCCTCTTGAAGCTCTTCCAGGCCAGGATGCGCTTTGCCTAGACATGCAATAGCTTTGCCTCAGTTGTATTCAGTTGGAGTCTAGCTCTGCTCTCCTTCTCCCTGTCCCGACTCCCTTTCTCATTTGGAGAGTAGTGCCACGTTCCAACTAGACCACTTCTGTAACCTCATGGCATTTACCACTGCTTGAGAAACTTTCTAGGCTGCTTTTGATTGGCTGGGACAGTGAGTGATAGTTTAAGTCCCCGAGGAAAGCCCACTTCTCTCCATATTCTCTTTCAGCCCTTTGGCAAAAGGATTTAATAAGGCATGCATCTTTCCAGAGAACTGGCCTTCTGAATGTGCACTGGAAAGACCAAATGCCAAAAGTAGTGGGTGTGACTAGGGCAGGGGTAGGCAACCTTGGCTCTTTTATGACTCATGGACTTCAACTCCCAAAATTCCTAAGCCAGCCATGCTGGCTCAGGAATTCTGGGAGTTGAAGTCCACGAGCCATAAAAGAGCCAAGGTTGCCTACCCCTGGACTAGGGCAAAAACTGAACGCAATATTACAATTCGATAAAGCAAATAAAATTACTCTCCCTCTCGCCAGCTATTTTATAATTTCTCCTTCTGTCCCAGCAGTGTAAAAGCAAAGTCCAGTACAGGTAGTCCTCAACATACAACCATAATTGAGCCCAAAATTTCTGTTGCTAAGTGAAACATTTGTTAAGTGAATTTGCCTCATTTTATGACCTTTCTTACCACATTTGTTAAGTGAATCTGGTTTCCCCATTGACTTTGCTTATAAGGTCAAAAAAAGTGATCACGTGACCCCAGGACACTGTAATCATAAATCATGATGGTTGCAGTGTCCTGGGGTCACGTGATCACCTTTTTTCATGGCCGAGCATCTGAATTTTGATCACATGACCATTTGGATGCTGCAATGTTTGTAAGTGTGAAAAACAGTCACAAGTCATTTTTTTCAGTGCCATTGTAGCTTCAAACGGTCACTAAATGAACTGTATTCCTGATTTTTGTAGGCCAGTTTTACTAGCCCCTTTCCTATGCTATCCGTTTTCTGCTTATCCATTTTCCAAACAAGGAATGAGTGCCCTCTAGTGAATAGAAACAGCTCACACACTTTGAAGGCTAAAAAAAGGGTTGAAGTCAAGGCCACGGTATTATTCAAATTATCTGGCCAGCATTATCTAGATGTGCCCGGAATCAAGTAAATGCATTCTGATCTACTTGTGTACAAAAGTACAAAATATATTAAGTACAGAATAGAATAAATCCACTGAGTTCAAACTACTAACAAGAATCAACTAATAATTGATGAAGACTAGATTAAAAAAAGGCAATCATTAAACTCTGTAGGTTTAAAGGATTCTCACCTGTCATTTACTTATTGTATATTTTGTGCAAACTGACACATGTACTTAGAAGTCAAGCACCAGAAGCCATGAATGCTCCAACGCTGGAAGTTTTTAAGAAGAGACTGGACAGCCATTTGTCTGAAATGGTATAGAGTTTCCTACCTGAGCAGGGGGGTGGACAAGATGACCTCCAAGGTCCCTTCCAACATCATCATCATCATCATTATCAAATATACATATGAAGAAATATGCATAATACTACAAATCTATACCAACCCAGCTGGGAGAAGGTCTCATTAAAACTGGCGGATAGGCAAGCATAGGATTGAGATTGTAAATTTGCCGTGGTTTCTTTTCTCGTGTCAAAATTGAGAGGAACGTAACAATTTAGCATCCCCCAAAACAAATATCAAAAATACGGCGGGAAAATATCTGCATTGCGCGTTACCGACACCCTTACCTCGAGTTGGCGCCGATCACGTGAACAGCATCATAGCAATGCGATTGGCTCTAGAAAAGGGGCGTATCCTTAGGCCCCACGTAGCGTATAAATAGAGACGCAGGCCGTCTATTCGGTCTTTTCATCGTGGGGTCGACGGCGCGTGAGGTGTGTGTTTGCCGCGCGCTTTTTTTTCGCTGGTGTAGTTGCTAGGATAGAATTCCCTGTGCTTATACCTGCACTGCAGTAATCTGAACGATCGTTAAGTGACAAACGTTTGCAGCTTTTTACAGTATATCTCTTCGATGTCATCTAGCGGTCGTTGGGGTTTTTGCGGCCTACAGATGTGCAGTGGTCCCGATTGCGGTTGGAGCCTGGCGGATGTTTTTGACCCAGGACTTATTTTCGGGTCAAAACGCATGGAATTTGAGCAGACGCGTTGGTCACGGTTGTGGCCCAGTATAGGCGGAATCACGTCGTGCCTCGCTGCTCTGATTTTGGGGGCTGGCTTACTAACTGCACTCGTGCACCTTGCCTAAGGGGGTTCAAGCTCTCTCCCAACGGCAATTACTGGCTTTTAGAGCCAGTTTTACGAAACCACGGAACTGGTGAACTGAGAAGATGGGGGGGGGGAATGCATTGCGTTATACAGTAGTTTTGAGAAATGTTTTTGACAACGACTCGCGGTTGAGTTTGATGTGCCCTTGAATGTATTGTCCTCAGTGCTGAGAAACGCCGTCCGTGAAAAGGGAGACTTTGGGGCTTATAGTATTGTATAGGCTTGTGGTCAAGCCCTTGCCAGGGTAATAATTGGGCAGTAGGTTATAGTTTGCTTTTGCAAGAACTAGGGAGAGGTCCGGTATATCTCTTGATTCCAGAGGTAGATTTGTGAGCTTTGGACTATGACTAAAGCCCCTCCCCCCACTTAATGCTTTCAGATGTGTTGTGCTCCTTACTTCTGTAATGCTTTAGTTTGCATATTTGAAAAAGAAGTTGGAATTGGTGTATAGGGAATTGTTCACTTGCCATATAAAAAAAATAGAACTTTATTCTAGATTATGATGACAGTGTATGCTTTCCCCCCCCTCAAATGTGCAAGTGCCAGCAGTCCTGCAGTGAAGCTGATTGGAAGGTGCTTAGAGCAAACAAAAGTTTTCCACACAGTGGAATTTATGAGCACACGGGGATGACTACTGTGGATGTGGTTAAAAGAGGAGTGAAATTCATGGGTGACATGTCTAATATGATTAGTCTTAAAGACCCAAAAGGTTTCCCCTACATTGTTAGCATCATGTCTCCAAAGAACTGCAGTAGGGGAGGGATATGTCTGCATCTCCTTGTGAGCACATCAAAATAAACCTTTTTAATCTTGTTGCTGGGTGATCTAAATTGGGAACACTATGCTGGCTGCTGTGATGATATTTTTTAGCGTGTTAGACTGCTGATGCAGATGAAGAGACACTATATCTGAGCCACCAGCATCAGTTGCCCAGGTGGAGGTAATGGTGTCCTAGCTCTTAATGTTCAATGATATGTTCTTGTTTTTTTTTAAAGACAAAACTAATTTTGTTAGGTTTGAGCAAAAATATCTCAGTATTCCTAAATTACTACCCCAATTTCTGCTTTTTTGCTCTAGGTATGCCAAGATTCTCTTGATGTTGAATGAAAATCTCTGGAACCAACTACCACTTGTTGAACAAAGCAACACAAAGAGGACCGATGTGGGGATGTTCTGAATCTAGATAAATAAAATTTAAAACTCTTTGCTTTGGATATTTTTTTTCCAGATAGGTTTGAAGCACTGCCTTTGAACTAGTGCATGGCCCATTCATGGTCTCACTGGCTACGCTACAGTGCAAAAATAAAAAGCTTGCTTATAACTGGTGTTGCTCAGCTTAAACCTGAGTGATTCTTTTAAAGACAAGTTACAATCCATCTCATGCTTAATGTTAAAATATGTAAGTTCCTCAAAAAACTGCAGTGAATATTCAGGGCTTGATCATCTGGAAAGAGTATTATGTAGGAGTGCTTCAATTTTATCTTGTTTGCTAGAATATCTGAAGATAACGTGAATTAAAGGAGGAAAGATTGGCTTGTTGGGCTCTTACTATTTGACAGTCTTTGCATAATCCTATCTTCAAAGATTATAGGAACAACCTAGCATTGGGAGAAAGTGTGTAAAGCCCTACTCAGACAAGCTATAATGCACTGCAGACTGCCATCTCCTTGGTGCCATATTTCATCAAAAAGCACATGTCCACCTTTGGCACGCTAATGGAGCATCCAAGAAAAGCCAGTAGTCAAAGGTAGGGTGATCCACTGCTAATTTCCTTCCATGGTGCTTAGGACAATTTCAATGGAAACAGGTTTTAGAACAAACCAGATTTCAAAAACAGCCCTCTGATTTAGCCACAACTTAAAACCAAATCTTACAACCAAAGAGTTCTTTGCAAAGAACCACTCAAGCATGTGTGTAACTGACAACTTGTCAACAATCACATCTTTAATGCTACTGAGTATAGTAATGAGCCTATTAAGAGTGCGAACATGTTGAGTGTAGCTTGAAATTAGGTTTTACCAATATTTTAAGGGTAAATTGATCTATTCCTGGATACATTTTTTTCTTTCAGGTAACAGTTAAAGTTCTATAGAGCAGCCTCTCAACCTTTTTCACCAAGAGCAGGGATAGGCAACCTTGGCTCTTTTATGACTTGTGGACTTCAACTCCCAGAATTCTGGTTCAGGAATTTTGGGAGTTGAAGTCCGTGAGTCATAAAAGCCAAAGTTGCCTACCCCTGACCTAGAGGAACTCTTAAAATTTTCACACCTCTGGGACCTCTGCATAAATATAATTATATCTACAGTTAAGTCAAGATCTCTTGAAGGATCTGGGCAAAACTTTAGTAATGCTATAAAATAAATTGATGCTGGTCAGATTAGCATAATCATAATGTGATTGTAATGCAACCCAATCTGGGTTATTGTGACACAGTGGATACTATCAATTTGACTTAAGTTTGCAATGCTAAACCATGGCCTCTGGTTTAATGTAAACACATAGGCTGTCCCATCTAGTTTCTTTGTTGTTAATTGTGAAGTCGTATCCGACCCATCGGAACCCCATGGACAACGTTCCTCCAGGCCTTCCTGTCCTCTTTACCATCTTCTGGAGTCCATTTAAGCTCATGCCTACTGCTTCAGTGACTCCATCCAGCCACCTCATTCTCTGTCGTCCCCTTCTTCTATTGCCCTCAGTCTTTCCCAGTGTAGTTCCTAGTGTCTGGTTATTTAGGGAAAAGACCTGAACCCTTTATTGTGCATGGCTATGCCAACCTACCAAAAATAGTGCCATAAAAAACAATAAGAGACGCAAGTTAAGATATGCAAGAAAGCGGTAAGTGAGCACCTGTCCAGCCTAGACGAGTTCAAATCACCAGGACCAGATGGATTACACCCCAGGGTTTTCAAGGAACTGGCAGATGTGATCTCAGAACCATTGAACTATATTTTTCAAAGACCCTGGAGCACTGGGGAACTACCGGAGGACTGGAAAAGAGCTGATGTAGTTCCCATCTACAAAAAAGGAAAAAAAAATGGACCCAGGAAATTATAGACCTGTCATCCTGACCTCAATACCTGGGAAGATTCTGGAAAAGATAATCAAACAACGAATTGGCAAACACCTAGAGGCAAACAGTCATTACTAAAAGCCAACATGGGTTTGTCAAAAACAGATCATGCCAGACATATCTTATTGCATTCTTTGACCAAGTGACAAAATTAGTGGACCAGAGGAATGCTGTGGATATAATTTACTTGGACTTCAGTAAGGCATTTGATAAAATAGATCACAACTTATTACTCGATAAGATAAAAAAATGTGGGTTAGACAGCACCACCACCAGATAGATTTGTAGCTGGCTGACTGGCCTTACTCAGCTTGTGGTCCTCAATGAAACTGCATCTACATGGAGGGAAGTGTGTAGTGGGGTGCCCCAGGGCTCTGTTCTGGGCCCAGTACTCTTCAACATCTTCATCAATGATTTGGACGAGGGGATAGTTGGGGAAATCATCAAATATGCAGACGACACCAAGCTGGCAGGAATAGCCAACACTCCAGAAGACAGGCTTAGGATACAGGAGGATCTGGACAGACTTGAACACTGGGCGCTGTCTAACAAAATGAAATTCAATGGTGAAAAAAATAAGGTTCTACATTTAGGCAAGAAAAACAAAATGTACAGGTATAGCAAAGGGGGTATCTTGCTCAATAGTAGTAACTGTGAGAGGGATCTCGAAGTCCTAGTGGACAATCATTTAAATATGAGCCAGCAGTGTGCTGCAGCTGCCAAAAAAGCCAACACAGTGCTAGGCTGCATTAACAGAGGGATAGAATCAAGATCACGTGAAGTATTAATACCACTTTACAATGCCTTGGTAAGGCCACACTTGGAATACTGCATCCAGTTTTGGTCACCACGATGTAAAAAGGATGTTGACAATCTAGAATGAGTACAGAGAAGAGCAACAAAGATGATCAGGGGACTGGAGGCTAAAGCATATAAGGAACGGTTGCTGGAATTGGGTATGTCTAGTTTAATGACAAGAAGGACGAGGGGGGACATGATAGCAGTATTCCAATATCTCAGGGGCTGCCACAAAGAAGAGGGAGTCAAGCTATTTTCCAAGGTGCCTGAAGGCAGGACAAGAAGCAACAGATGGAAACTAATTAAGGAGAGAAGCAACCTAGAACTAAGGAAACTTCCTGACAGAACAATTAACCAGTGGAACAACTTGCCTCCAGAAGTGGTGAATGCTCCAACACTGGAAGTTTTTAAGAAGAGACTGGACAGCCATTTGTCTGAAATGGTATAGGGTTTCCTGCCTGAGCAGGGGGTTGGACTAGATGACCTCCAAGGTCCCTTGCAATAATAATTATTATTATTATTATGTAGTTGTTAATGCCTTGTTATTTAGGGAAAAGGCCTGCACCCTTTGTTGTGTATCTGGTCTTGGGCACAGCTTTAAATTATATCTTGTTGAGATGCTGACTGTAAATGAACAGGCAGCTGACCAAGAGATACAACCACTTCTTACTGAGCAGCAATTTTGGAGAAATTTCCTGAAACATTTGATTGAATAGTTTGCACAGTTGTAACAATGAACCATGTTTTAGATCACTCTATCAATACAGAAAAAAACTCTTGTTCTTAAGGATTGTTGCAAGTCTTCCTATCTGGGAAGCTAATTCTGTTATTTAGAAAATAAGACTTGTGGTGGCATCCCCTAAACCTTGCTTTACAAATGGAAGAAAATGTTTTTATATACTGTAACAACAACAACAAAAATCTCCCCAGACCTTCTGTTTGGAGCAAGATTCAGGGAGCCTGTAGGAATGTAAAATAAATCCTAAAGAGCTGTATACTATTTAAATTCTTGAGCTTTTTATGCTCTACGCAAGAGGTGTCAAACTGCCGGCCTGTGGACCAGATACATCATAGTGAAACCGTGCCCACCTCTGCCAGCAATCGCAAAAAGTTGCGACATGTCGCGACACATCATGTGACGTTGCAAGTTTGACACCTGCTCTAGGCTCAATCCCCGAACAATCTTGAATACTCTTGGCTTAGAGAACTGGCTAGCGCCAGGTGACATGAGACATGATCTATTTTGCCTGATTGCTCCCACAGAAAATACATCTTTCATGAGTACTGGCTATAAGAGCTGAAATGAGAATTATAGAATATGATTTGGAATTTTTTCAGTATTTCAGTCTCATTGAACAATGAGTACTATATTCCTGAATATGCATCCACACTTCTACCCCACCAAACATCAAAACAGATCTTTGACATGGGATAAGTTTATTTGAAAAAACAAAGCAAGCCCACTGTAGTAACCCACACAGTCTGATTATGAAGTGCAGTAAATGTACTTGTGCCAACCTGGATAACTGATTACATATTTGTGCATCTAGTATTTTGACTTATTGTACAGAGGGGGAAAAAAAGCTGTGAATAAGACATGCAGATTTAAGAGGAAGGCAAATGCTTTCATTGAGATGAGAAGAATAGTACATAAAATGGAATGGTCCCAGAGTTGAGGTAACAAAATAGTTGTCCAAATAATATGAATATGTCAATATATTAAATGCATAATTTCTAATAGGTTTCAGGCAAGGTGCTTTTAAAAAACTTCAATCAGCTTCATTTAGAGATTGCAAATCATGAGAAATTTGGACGCAGGAACCTAACACAACATACAAAAAAGATTTTAAAAATATGTAAAGCGTAGTACACTATCAAGGAGTGAACTCCATAGCTCACCTGCTTTCTTTGTAAAGTAAATTAACATTCTTTCAACAAGTAGTTGGCAATACTGAGTATCAAGAAACACTCATTGCTTACGTAGAGTTCAGAAGAGTTAAGATTCGGTAGATGTGTTTAGTCCATACAGAAAAGGAACAGCAAGGCAGTGTTCTCTTGGCCATTCTCACTTGTAGTGCTTTGGTGTTGTTACTTTCATACAAGAATACCAAGCCAGCCTACAAGCTGCTTTCGTTATGTTGACAAAAAATCAGCCGTAATCAAGATTTACACCTCCTTAAATGATTAAACGAGGATCCACTATATAGTTAGGAAGAAAGACAGCTGGTTGGTGAAAGTGAATGGCTCCTTCCATGCAATCATTTCTAATGAGTACATGCGTGGTCTAGGCATTTCCATGTGTAGTCAACTCCCAGAGCCATCATTAATCACAATTGCAATTATAATGCACTAACTAGAAGGCTTACTGTAGTAGTTTGGTCTCATGGCTTTATCTTAAATTTATTTGTTTTTCTAAAGAATCACAAAATCCCTTAACCAATTCTGTATGTTTGCATGTTTTATATGGCTACTCATTTCCAAGAAACTCAATTTCGTATGAAAAAAATAAGTTACTATGTATAATCTACATGGATTGACAATATCACCTATACATCCAATGTACATTCTTAGCTCCAGAAACCATTTCAAAATTGCTTGACACAAGCTATTGGGACTGCAGGAGTGAAGAACATGTCACTTCCATTTTATATCTCCAGCTGCTTCAGAGCAGAAAGTCTTCCAGTTAGACATGTTCATGTCTTATTGAAAACAAGTTCCATATGGCTGGATGAGACAAACTGCCAGTGTTCAGGGTGTATCCTGAATTACTGCACATCCATGTGGATCAAAGCTGTTGGATCAATAGCTGCTAGTTGGATTTCTTTCTAGTTTACTGCAGAAGAGTGCATATTAACTACTAGGTTTAAAGCCTAGCAGAAATGGAACTAATGCTCTAAAGTCAATAGAGAGCCATAACTGGAGCAATTATTGGCAGAAGCAATTTTATCTTTAAAAAAATAAAACATGGCACAAGGACAAAATCAGCTAGACTGTTTCATTTGAAAGAGAACAAGAAAACGACATCTGTTAATACTGTAAACTTCAGTCTTCACATTCATGGTTGTTCCAATTCAGTATCTTCAGAAAATTTCAAAGGGCACATAGATGAGCGGGGGTCCATGACTGAGTGCATTAGAGGAATATAAACATCGTCCATGTTTGGCATGACAAAAATTTTCTGCAAGGTATAATAACTGAGTTAGAATGTAATTCAAATGTAAAATTAGGAAAAATTAAATACACCAAACTCTTAATTTTGGACTCTCCCACCAGGCCAAGTAGAATTCTAAACAGGTTTATTTGAATCAAGTAACATCATAGGTCATTAGTAAACATCTACCTTAAGCTTAGATTTGGATCAGAGTTGTCAAGGGTATTAAAGCAATATTGCTTTTTACAGGCTACAAGATCTTATGTTCCATTACATTTCAGCAAACATTTTAAAAAAATAGTTGACTCCTATCTGCTATTGTTCCTTGCCCCCATCATTCCAAATTTTTAAAGGAAATAGCTAAAAAAATTGAATAGATTTAACAGTTCAATAAATTCAAGATGAACAGAATTCTAGAAATATAGTCAATAGAAAAGTATGAGCAATAATTTATTCAAACTATGTATTTGTCCCAGATCAAAACCAGTCTTTCTTTATGAGATTATCCACAATAATATTCCTTCTAATTATTTGGTATCTCTTAAATGAAATAAAATCAGGCATTATGCCCCTATTTTAAAAATATGAGCACAGAAGGTATTTTAGTGTGGATACGGCACACTTCAGGTCCAAAGACAAAGTATTTCAGAGTACCAGTGATCTCACTTGGTGCCTCTTTTCAGATAGTCCTTGACTTAGAGCTGTTTATTTAGTGATTGTTTAAAGTATTACACTGAAAAAAGTGACTTATGATCATTTTTCATATGACCATTCCAGCATCCCCATGGTCACATGATTAAAATTTGGGTGCTTGGCAGCCTATATTTATGAGGTTATGGTGTCTGGGAGTCATGTGATCACTTTTTGTGGCCTTCTGACAAGCAAAGTCAATGGGGAAGAGTCACTTAGCAACTGCACCAATAAAGGAGAATATTTATAGCTCTGGGTTGAAATGAGGCATGCTTGGTGCTGTCTGAGCTTGGTTACATTCTACCATCTTCAAGCTTAATGGCTTAGCTAATGTCTCACTTATTCTTTTAACACAATTAATGCTAATGGTATTTGAAGTACCTGGAATTCTTGTTCTAGTTTCTTCTCTATCCACTCAGTCACATGAACCAAAGTCACTTCTCTTTCACCAAGTTTTGGCCGAGCTTTTAGCTCCAGGTAAGGGGGTCTTCGGAAACCGTACCTGAAGATAAAGAAAATGTTGCAGGTTTAGAGATGTTTCTATCTCATATTTTATGCCATATTTTCTTGAAGGCCTCTGGGAGAATATAATTCGTGCTCAGCTAAGATGAGACGTGTTTATCTAAAGCTGTCCTGGGATATTCTTGTACAAACAGAAATTTTAATCTAGAAATATGTCCATGACTACATCATGCTCCCCAACCCCAATCTTGCTGGCTTCTGGGACTTGTGGTTTCAGACATCTGAAGCACTCTAGGTCAGGGACGGTTATACTACCTCATATAGCCTAATCTTGTGCATTTGCTTTTTATGTTCAAGGATTTTGTGCTTGGAGGCAGCTTGGAGGCTCTAAACCAGGCCTGCACAATTCACAGAGGGGAAACACTCACTGATAAATTAAAAATAACTGTGGGCTGCAAAGGAATATCTGGCATACCAATCAGCTATTTGGCAGCAGGTGGAGTGGCAGTGGGACTGAAGCTGGCAGCAATGGTGAGTCTTGGAGATGCTTAGCAATGCATCTTTTGGGACAATAGTGAATTTATTACTGTTTTAAAAAGCTTCAGCACACAAGGTTGCTTGGCTGGCTGCACGCAGCCCACAGGTCGTGTATTGTGCAGGACTAAACTATTGTGTTCAACAAAATATTTATTCCAAGTGAGTACATATCTCAACATTCAAAACAGTCTCACTTTCCTCTAGTTCAGGGGTATAGTTTCATTTCTTCTAGGTACCCTGTAAACAGATGTGTCCAATTTACAATATGTCATTGTGAGATCAGATATATATTAACAATTATTGTTATTGCTGAAGTCTAGTACCGAACTAATACTAGTTGGTGAAGGATTTTATCTCTGAAAAATTTTATGCACCAGACTTATAACTGAGATTAAGTCCTAATTATCTAGCAGTAGGTACTATGATTCTCTCAAGAATGACCACAGTAAGAAATCAAATCAGCACCTTCTTACATTTTTACTTGTGGGGAGCACATGCCATGGATTTTGTAACTTGTTAACTAACATAGTTACTTTGTATTTTAATTTAATTTATTTCTCTCCTTTATGTGGATTTATCAAACCACTATAAACTGGAATGTAGGAAAACATTTTATCCTATCACTATATGGATTGATTGATAGCTTCTAACATTCCTAAACTGAAAAGATAAATTACAGAAGAATGGATGGATACTATTTCCTGATAAGAAAAAAACTGTTGGTGCAAAACTGTTGTCTGGTACTTTCTTCATGAACTTCAAACAACTTTTGTAGTTGATTTATTACTCAAAGGAGAGATTACTTTTTTCTTGTCCAATCAACTTTCCTCTTGCATTTTCTTTGTTGTGTTAACTATTAAAAGGAATGTAAGATGGGTCTTGGGGTTCTCCCTTTTCATAGGGAGATCCCACTTTATCAGGGTACCCTAATAAATGGCTTTTAAATGATCTTCCGTCTGGGTTGCTTATTGGGAAGGTAAACTGAGGCAGAACCTAGAGCCAAGATTTGGCTATCACTTATCATTAACCCTTTTTCCAATACAGTTTAAAACAATTATGTATTGTTGGACTAAGATAATGTTTTCTGTATTGAATTACGCTCTGCTCCTCCTAGAGCAGGGGTCTCCATCCCCTGGTCCGTGGACCGGCACCAAACTGCGGCATGCCAGAAACCGGTCTGCACAAACAAGCAAAGCCCTAACCGCAGGATGCAGGCAGTACATGAAACCACGCCCCCTCTAGTCCGCAGAAAAACCTCTCTCCACGGAACCGGTCCCTGGTGCCCAAATGTTTGGGGACCTCTGTTCTAGAGGTTAATTTCCTCAGGTGTAACTGAGGATCTCTCTTTTGTCAAATATTTTCACTTGAAGAAAATGGGATCCCATCTCAATTAAGGTGGCCAATGGTGAAGATATTGGACTGAGAAGGCCCAACTTCAACTCCTCAATGAATATGGACCTCACGGAGGTGTTGTGAGAATAAAATTATGGGAAACCCTATATAAACTGCTTTGAACCTCCCAGACAAAAAAGCAAGATATAAATGTTCAATGAAACACTCCTGGATAAATGAAAACAAAATTTCATTCACAATTTCATTCCATATTTGTTTCAGATAAAAAGAAACACTGAAATAGTTTTTCTCCTTTGATACTATTTTCAATTATAAAAAAAACACTGGAAAAATCCTTGGCATTGACCTCTTAATACTTCTGTAGATCCTCATGTAATTCAATATGCTGTTTTACCCAGCATGCTTCTCTATTACAGTATTCCATATTAAAGGAAGGGAAAGGTAGGAGAAAAGAAAGAACAAGTGGTAATCTTTCTTTTTGACCTGATTTCTGGTTGCCATAGCTTTTATTCATGGATGATAACATTGCTAAGCTTTGTAGCTTCTCAGTTTCTGGAAGTTTACAAAATGCATAATAAGAAATGGAATTGTACATTTTTACAAAAGATCTCTTTTTGGACAGAAGAGTAATTCAATCACACAGCAATTTAAAATAACATCCAGTTCCATTATCTTTGTCAGTAACTGTTCATAGGAATTAACGCCAAAATCCCACACACTTTGTCTCAGAATTAACTTATTTAACCCTGAATAAAATGGTACATGTCAGACTGTCGCTTATGACTCACACATTGGTACTGCAATTTTCTAAAAAGGATCCTTACTAAGAATCATCTGAATACTTGTTGAATTCTGCAAGAATGATCACACCCTGCAGACCAATTTTGATTTTATAAGTATGCTCTCTTGTATGACCTCAAACTACATTTCTGTTGTATTATTCTTTATAGTTCATTAGTCAAATGGTCCAGCTTTTTTTTATTATTATTATCTTGGACGGATGTGAGAAAAAAAGGGAAATTAGGGAACTAGAGCAGTGATGGCAAACCTTTTAGAGACCAAGTGCCCAAAAACTGGCCCCGCCCCTGCCCCACTCTCTGCCCTGCCCCCACCCCCTTGTCCGCAGGGCCACTCATAGCCTCCAGGGCCCACTGCAGATCCCCCAGCAGCACCATGTCAGCCACGCCCTCTGCCCACACCCCGCAGCATCAACTGTGCACGATGGGGCATGAGGGTGGAATCTTGTCTACGCTGCCTGGCTGCCATGTCCTTGACTGCACTGCTCCGCATGGGCCATGCTCGGGGGCAATCCTTCTCCAGGAGTGCTGCTGTGAGGAGGGTGTCATGGGGAGAAGGCAAGGCTGGGAAATAGGTTCACCACCACTGGACTAGAGAATAAAATGTTTTAGGGATTTCTTTCACAGCCACTCAGAAAAACAAGAAATCTACATTATTTTGGCTCTCTTGATAAGTTTGAGAGCCACATTATACATGATGGATTCCAAAATCATAAGTCTTCTTAACTGCACTTACCATATCCGATCAGTAGGTGGGGGAGGAATGTTAATTGCTAACATCCCTTTACACTCTTGTACCTCAACGGTGAGCAGGAGGGGTGTATTGGAGACTTCCTCAATCTTTTTCTTAATGAATTCTGTCTCAGTCGCCTTCTGGAAATATTTTGACTTGGTAATTTTATCCACAAATCTCATTATTTTACTTGTCCGGTGCCCTGATGCATACCTTTAAGGGAGGAAAGAAGAGGAAGTCAACTAAGTGAGTTTCAGCTACCTTTTAAAAAAAAATAAAGGCTAATGCTTTGGGGGTAATTCTGTGGCTGAAAATACAACATGTTAAGGGCACAGAATGCCAGTCTGCTACTAAAGATTGTGAAATGTTGTGTAAGTGCACAGACAGCAAAGACTTATAGTTTTCATGAATAAAAATGGAAAGATCCATAGACCTGGCTGTGACAAGTGCCTGCACTCTAAATCAGAACTAATTTAAAATCAGACATTAGTTAACTCACATATTAAGGATTTTGGTGAACAGTTGTTGGCCCAATGTCCACTATTACTCTTGGATAGTCCTATATCAGGGGTCTTCAAACTTGGCCCTTTTATGACTTGTGGACTTTAACTCCCAGAATTCCTCAGCCAGCAACCCTGTCCTATATGCTGCTGGGATTTCTGCCAAATGTTTGAGAGCTCAGACCAAACAGGTGGCTTACCTAGCTGCAGTGGACCTTTCAACCCCAAACTGCAAATTCAAGGATTTAGCAAGAGAGTGCACGAATTCTGGATTTTTCCTTATAGTATTATTTTTCTCAACTTTTTATATTATGGTTTTGCTGCACCTTTAGGTTTGATTGTTACTTGGCATGGATTCCAGTGGATTAGAAATGCAGACTATAAATGTTAAAAAAAAGGAGCCTCTGGGGATTTTAGTCTGTTACTCGTTGCTGACTGTAGGGGCCGCTGCTCATCTCTGAGCCAACGCTGTCTGAAGACATTTCCACGGTCATGTGAGCAGCATGATGTCACAGAGTGCTGTTACCTTCCCACTATAGTGGTACCTATTTATCTACTCGCATTTGCATGTTTCCAAACTGTTAGGTTGGCAAGAGCTGGGGAATACAAATGTTAGATTTGTATTTGCAAATGACACTAAGCTGGCAGGAATAGCCAACACTCCAGAAGACAGGCTTCGGATACAGGAGGATCTGGACAGACTTGAACACTGGGCACTATCCAACAAAATGAAATTCAATGGTGAAAAAAAGGTTCTGCATTTGGGCAAGAAAAACAAAATGTACAGGTATAGTGTAGGGGATATCTTGCTCAATAGTAGTAACTGTGAGAGCGATCTCGAAGTCCTAGTGGACAATCATTTAAATATGAGCCAGCAGTGTGCTGCAGCTGCCAAAAAAGCCAACACAGTGCTAGGCTGCATTAACAGAGGGATAGAATCAAAATCATGTAAAGTAGTAATACCACTTTACAATGCCTTGGTAAGGCCACACTTGGAATACTGCATCCAGTTTTGGTCACCACAATGTAAAAAAGATACTGAGGCTCTAGAAAGAGTACAGAGAAGAGCAACAAAGATTATTAGGGGACTGGAGGCTAAAACATATAAGAAACGGTTGCTGGAATTGGGTATGTCTAGTTTAATGAAGAGAAGGACGATGGGGACATGATAGCAGTATTCCAATATCTCAGGGGCTGCCACAAAGAATTGGGAGTCAAGCTATTTTCCAAAGCACCTGAAGGCAGGACAAGAAGCAACGGATGGAAACTAATTAAGGAGAGAAACAACGTAGAACTAAGGAGAAACTTCCTGACAGTTAGAACAATTAACCAGTGGAACAACTTGCCTCCAGAAGCTGTGAATGCTCCAACACTGGAAGTTTTTAAGACGAAACTGGACAGCCATTTGTCTGAAACGGTATAGGGTTACCTGCCTGAGCAGGGGGTTGGACTTGATGACCTCCAAGGTCCCTTCCAACATTATTATTATTATTATTATTATTATTATTATTATTATAGATATAAGAAAATAAAGGAAGACTGTAATTAAAAGAAAAGTCAGTCATTTTTCTGAAAATAAATAAGCTATGCCTGCTAGAAACTGGACAATGATGCTAAACATAATCTATGCACCCAAAGGTCTATTAAATCTATTGATTAATCTTTGGATGACCTGCAGTTGATTGGCAAGAATCAACTATTATTACTACTACCTTATTATTAAATAACAGCAGCAACAAATCCTCTCTACTGAAATGTAAAAAAAAGGGATCATCTTTTCTGCAACAGATAAAGCAGAACAATCTTTCTCTTAAGTAAAGACTTAATAATAGCTATAGGAAAATAATTATTTCTGCAACTTCGATCATCTGTTACAGTTGCTAAATTATTTATAATCTTGCTGAGAAGCTGCACTGATCTCTATGCTAGTCCAAAGAAACATTTCAAATGTTTGTTTGCATTAACATACAGACATTTTCAGACATCAGCTAACCAGCAATTCAGAAAAATCCATGAAATGTTTATTTTTTATTTTTTTTTTATAACAAGTTTTTATTAGTTTTATATTTAAGTATTTGGAAAGCAACGTGGTGATTGGGTAATTAGTAGTACAATAACAAAATCTCAGGTTACATCATCAAAAAAAATCCCTTCTTTATTTTCCTTAACATTTGCTATATCATATTTAAGCTAGTAAATTTCTAATTTTAACAAGCTCAGTTAAAGCATTCATCATTATATTTTTACTTATACATATTCATAACCTGTATTAAATTTTGCCTAATTTTTAATTATAATATTCCAATTTAATCTTTAATATCCATAGTGTTTAAATTTCGGGTAACCCAAATTTCCTTTATTTCACTATATAAAAATTATAATATCTAAAATACACCTATTACTTACTTGGATATATTCTTATTTTATTTCATAAACATTTTCTATTTCTCATCCTGATACATCACTGTTTACTAATAGAGTATCCTTCATTGTCTCAAATCCATCGTCTGTGTTATCTGGGCTAAACAATAATTCGAAGCTATTCTCTAATAATTAATTCTCATTT